CCAACGTGTCCATTGCCCCCTAAGCTACCTAAACATTACCAAAGGCCGGTAGTAGCTTTCGGCGCGCTCGGCACACGTTGATCTGGGGGAGCGCTGACTTGATGTCTGATCCAGGTCAGGTCCCTGAAGAAAGTCACAACGTATATATCCATGCCCTTGTTACTAGTAGCTTCTCGCTCCTAGTAGTGCGGCCAGGAGATACTAGTATAGCGTCCGCGCTCTCCCTTGTTACGAGTAACGTCCTCTACGCGTCAACAAACCGCAGCGTGAACAACTGTAGTTCACAAGCTCACACGAACACGAAACATCATGAAACACCGCGACCGAGTCTAGGGACGTGGCTTCAAGCTCATCAGCCGCCCCCAAAAGTTATGGCTCCCTTGACTCCTCAAATTGAACTTCAGTCTGTTCTCGGACTGACGTCCACGCAACAGCACCTTCAACACCTTCCTCTTCGATGCAGAATGCATTGCGGCATTGCATTGCGTTGCAACTGTCATCGACTCGCAAATGGTCGCGATCTCCAGAGTTGCGCGCTCATCGTGGCCTTGCGGTTGATCCGAACGCGGTGCATCGTGTAATACGTTGGCCCGCGTCCATGAGTGCATCACAACCAACGACATTGGGTCACGGTACGCCTTGCTTTCCGTAGCCACCGCAGTCGACTTTCCAGCCAACGTGCGAGGTACTCACCTTCAGTCCTCTGGCGGGTAATGGGGCAATAGTGCGCCGCGCGGACGCTCTCCTCTAGTGCACCTGTGGCTGCTGACATCGAGATGGCCTCACACAACAAGGAGGGCGTCGCTTTCCTCCTCAGCCGTTTGCTTCGCCAATGGTGTTGGGACACCTTTGTTCATGCAGTCAGTAGTGTATCCGAGCAACCAACCATGCTGCGATTTCTCTTGTCCTGGCGTATCAAAACTGCTATCTGCAATGAGGATGTTGCGAAGTTTGCTTTCCTCAATGCCGTGGACTTTGAGCTTCACTGAGAACGTTTTCAAGCGTCGCACTACATCGTATGCGGCGTTGATGTGGCTGACAGCTGGTTCGGGAAAAGCTCCGGCCAGTATTGAAGCCGCTGCAGCGCCGTCAGGTTGGCCCTCGCGCGAAATCCGGCGCTTGCCATCAGGTTTGTCAGCTAGGATTTCTCTGTTCCATTCAGCTTCGTCTTCGCAGCGTCTTTGACCAAAGCCACCTGAACCACGACCTGAGCCAGATCCTCCACCACGACCTTTGCCTGTTCGTTTTCCTTTGTTCTTGCCTTTCTTGATGTCGTTGCTGCCACCTTTGCCTTTCGGCCTGAAAAAGTTCCTTCCTTGTCTCCTCGACTGGAGCTCCTTTCTCGCATCTTTGTGATCACTGTTAAAGGCCCAAATGTAAGTTGCCTCTTCTTCAGCGTGTTCAGTTGCCTGTTGCTTGGGACCCACAAGCAGGTAGGTGAAGTTCCCCTCACCGTCACTCTCTGGGGTTTTCTTCATTAGCCCGTTCAAGATTAGGCTGATCCCTCAAAGCTCCGGTCGCGATTTTTTTGGTCACGCGAGCCACAGGAGCTTCCGGCCTGTCCAAAAGGCGCAGGGCCGCAGCTGCCTGGTCAAACGACATCATCGCCTGGCACTTTGTCAGTGCAGCGTGTCGAAGAAGAATTCGACCTGCGATTCTCGTTGGCAGCTTCTCACCAACATTGCTCTCCAACTCCTGTAAGGCCAGTTCATTTGCAGCAATGTATGTTGAAAACGTGTCCCACTTTTTTCGGTCTCCAGCATAAAAAAAGTTATCAATGGATCCTGGCGCCACTGCTTCAATGTACGATACGGACCATGCTTTTTTGCAAGATTGCTGACAACACTGCTCCATATCCTTGTGGTCTGGACAATGTGCCAATGTCAATGGCCCCATTTATTCTTCCACAAAGGTTTGCGCGCTCCTAGCTGTTCCAACATAACTCAATGAACCATATCCAGAGCAACCATGCTGCTGTTGCACACCCGAAAAAACACTACCAGCTCCCATTCCAGTTGTCAGGGGAACATTACATTCCTGTTTGGGAAAACCTCCCATCTGGCCCAGCGATCCTTGGGCTTCTCCCACTTCCGACAGCCTGGCCTGTCATTCCAAAAAGACCTCTCTGTGAAGCGTCTCAATGCAGACCCGACTGTAACTGAGTCCTGCCGAAGTCCTACCTGTAGGTCCAAAAGGCATTGGTCTTGTCACCTTGGAAGGTGGAAGCAGAACTGCCTGGGTTCCGCCTGCATAGTGACTCCACGTATCTGAACTCTGGGGGTCCACGGAACCAACGGAACCAATGCCAACCGGCAGGGAGCCAAGATCTTACTCAAGGATCCGCTGCCACTGTCAAAAAACAGCAGCGTAAACAACTGTAGTTCACAAGCTCACACGGACATGAAACACCGCGACCGAGTCCAGCGGGTGCAAACGAATTCTATCACATGAGCCCAAGGCGCCTTCGGTAGGCGGGTACATTGAACATGAGTCAAGGGAAGTCTTAGTCTCCTAGACTGTGGTTTCAAGCTCATCACATGTTTTTCTCACAGCGTCATTTCACTCGGTCGGACTAGTTTGCCTGCGCCACACGACGAAATTGCAGTTCCTGACCTGACCTTTCCACGAGCTTTTGCGTTGGGGAGACAAGTAAGGGGACAAGGCATCAGTAAACAAAACGCCGATCACATGTTGCAGCGGTAGCTGTGGACCAAAACAATCGGCCACCCAGTCATTGAGAAGTAAGAACCCCTACAGTATAGCTTTCACCTCAAGAGCAATGGCCTCCAACTTGCTAGCTGAGCCCCTATAGCTTTCAGCTAGCAAGTAGACGGTCAAAGCTTGTAGAAATGAACCAACCCCCCTCCACTGCAATTCGTCGAGTCTCAGATTTGCACGGTCACGTGGCAGTTCCAAATCATCCATCAAAGCCTGGCCACACTCTGCGATTCGTATTAGTTTGAAAAGGCTGAGAATCTCAGTTGCATATTCGGTTTAAGCTTATCAGATTGATGCAGATTGCCGCCTGTACTCTGCGATCTTGGATCACTAGCAGGAACAGCTCCTTCGTGATGGCAATGTTCTCCTGAGAACTTGAGGCCTCTCAAAACAAGACGCCTAGAGCCTAAAATCACCTAAACACCATACTTGTTGCTATTAGGTTGGAGGCCATCACTCTTAGGTTGTTGGCACAAGGCCTGTTGCTCACTTTGCACATGGACTTTCCTTGCCTTGAGCGAAAAAAAACACGCACTTGGACGGGGCAAGCGTCAGATGATCACAAAGTGAAACACAAAGTGAAACCATACATTGAAACACAAGTTCGTGAACTGAGGCGAATAAAGAGAAGGGGATTGGCTCACCGTCCTGTATTTGATCGTCAGTAAACATGCTGGTGTCAAGACGTTGATAGAGAGGAGGTGTTGACTCATCCATCATGTCCTGGCAGGGTGTGCGTGCTGCATCGAAGGCGTCTATGCTTTCGAGAACTTCTACCTCACCAAATTCAGAAGTGGATTGAATCCGTGACAAACTCATTGTTTCTTAAGTCATCACAGCAATTAGTGACATGCATGTCTCAAGTTTTCCTTGCGTACAACACATGTGTTTGGCTTTCCTTGAGGAATGTCAGAGCCCCTTATTGAACAATTTAAAACTAAAAATAAAGCCAAAACCGTCTTTTGTCATTGTGTGCTTTGTGCTTTTTGGCCTCCTGGAAAGCACCGTATGCTGCCGCAAACTTTTTCAGCAGCTCTCGGGTGACCCGAGCAATGCGAATCGACTCCCTAGAGTGCTGCTCTGCAGTGAGCGCTTCGTTCTCTTTCGCCGCCTTTGGAGGGCGAAGCGGGCAGACCAGGATCCAGGATCGATTCTTCCCAAAGCAGTGTGTCCACACTAACTACTAGGAGCGATCGGACGCTACTAGTAACAAGTGCATCGCTTCTAGTAACAAGTGCCTTACTAGTAGTAACAAGAAGCTACTAGGGGTTCTTACAGTAGAGTCGGAGGCCCTGCACTTCGACTGCGCAGGCTCGCAGAATCTGGTGGGCGCGGGCGGGTATCGGGACTGCACTCTCCTTGTGGTGCCGTGCACATTTTCGGACTTGGTGATCATTCTTCGTGGGCTAATGTGCAGATTTCGTGGCAGGCGCAGTACTTTGGACATGCTGGTGGTCTTCGGCATGCTCTGATTTCGTGGCAAGTGCAGTGGATCGTGACTTTTGGACATGTGGCTCCTTTTCAGAGCGAAAGTTGCGCTTTGGCATCTTGATGCTATCTTTGGAAGCGCTTGTGCTGAGCTTGTGCTGCAAATCGTCTTGGCAGGACCGGCGCGATGTAAATCTTCAAGTGCAGATTTCGTGGCAAGCGCAGCAAATGTGCTCTCATATCTGTGCTCTGCTCAACTATCTCTCTCCACCTCTACACCGGACCAGACCTTCAATTCTAAGCACCAATATCATCACCATCACCACCTTCATCACCACCATCACCTCTCAGGGGCCTCTTGCCGGGATAAGTTAACAAGAAATCAGGTGAAAAACAACACGCTCTTAGGTTGGAAACCATCGCTACTAGGTTGGAGGCCATCGCTAGTAAGAACACAGTCGAGTGTTCTCAGTTCCTCTCTGTTCCAGCCTTCATGGTAATGTCCACGTAGACGGCCAAGATAACATTACAAATGCCCATGGTCACCAGCATGTAGCTCATAACATAGCCAAAGATGAAGGGTAGCCCAAACTGGGCAGCCAGCAAGTAGTGGAGAGGTTGTCCAAACTCATTGACCTCCAGTTCGAATCGGTTTGGCCCGCTCACCAAATTCAAATCTGGAAACGGAAAATTCAAAGCAAATTGAGGTACAAGACTTGGTCAAGGATTGTCATCCATTCAGACCTGCTTTATTTAATTGACTCACACCTGTCTCCAAGATTATCGGTCTAAAAAGCCTGGGGATTCAAGTACCCAGCACCATTAAAAAATAAACTGCGGATTAAGACCACCATGTATCAGGGTATGGTTCTCAAGGTCTAAAAAGACAAGGTGTTCAGAATTCAAGAGAAAGCTTCAAGCTTCCACAGGCAACTACAAAAATACAAAAATTGACCTTTCGAGGCCAAGACCGAGGAAACTGTCTCGCTCTCGGAACCAAACAGTGAAACAAATATGAGTTGAAACATGTTTGCTCAAAAAGAGCTGTTGGTATGTCCAACGCTGCTTGCGGCGCTATGTTGGGTCTTAACAAAAGCGGACAATTCGACAGCTGCGTCAACGTCGCCTTATGTTACAGTGCGGAAACAAGCGCGTCTGAGGGACACATTCTCCAGTGAAGCAACGGAATGCAGTGTACATCGAATCCGGCAACGTTCGGAAATAGGTTTTCAAGCCTCAAAGTTGCAATGAAACAAAATGGTACGACAAAAACTGATTCTGCATCCAGATCATTACCCACAAGGAAGGCGAAACGAAAGCCAGCATAAGCAGCGTACATCACGGTGAATCCTATTGAATCCTTTTGTCATTCCATTCTGCTTGAAGCAAACATATCTGGCTGCTTGTCTCACATCAAAGCCAAAGGAAGCATGCAAAAACTGCAAAAAAACAGTAAATTCAAGAACAACAACGACCAAACTTGTTCCGGAAAGCCCAGCTCATGCGTCTTTGGGTCGTCGCCTATGCAAAGGGTTGCAAAGCCCCCGATCACCTCGACGCACCGACGCGAATGACTGGACTCAAGGACTTCGTGTCTGTGCGCCTTACTACTAGGAGCAAGGACGCTACTAGGGGCTCCTGGCCTTAC